TTAATCAGACACAAAACTACCTGAAAAACGAGACAACACAAATACAAAACTACACAAAACCATCACAGCGAGCAGGAAGAGACAGAAACCAGAGCAGAAAGGCTGGTTTAAACCCCAGAGGGAGGACTAAAGCTCCTCATGATGCTTCACTCTGGCTTCCCGTCTCTCAGTGAACAGAAACTGGAAAACTGGTCTCTTCAGGGTCTGAAGTCCATCTCTGGACCAGCTGGACTCTGAGAACCAGGTTCTGAGGCCTAGAACCAGAACCAGAACCAAACCAGTGGGGGCTTCATTTCAGTCTCATGCTCCCAAAATCTGGATTTTTTCCTGAAGACGTGAGACAGAATTGAGCTCTGAGTGTTTGAATCCAGCTGAAAACATCTAACTAAATGTATTTGATCAGGTCCCTTCACTTTTTACCCGTTCAATTTATTTTATTGATTCATACTCTTTTGTTTGCTGCTTTAAAACTCTTTATAAAGCACTTTGAATTGTTTGAATTGTCTCGTACTGTCAAGCGGGTGGATCTCAGGGTGGACTCAGATGTGGAGAGGTGGTATCAAAGGGGTTTTAATTTAAGAAAAAACGCACTCAAAAGGAAATAAAGTAAACACGACTATGGCAAAAGTACTAAATAAAGTAAACAAGACTATGGCAAAACAAGACTGTGACAAAGTGCAAAAATCAAAATCTTACGTGGCGTGGACAAGACGAGGAACGAAAGCAAAGAGACACAAACTGACGAAAATGACGAAAACACACTGGCCCGGGACATGGGAAACGAGGACTATTTAACCACATGAGGGAGGGGAACCCCAGGTGAACACAATAGGTAATCAAAACATGACGAGACACCAGACATTCCCCCAGACGGGACACGTACATTAAATGTGCTGTAAGTTAACTTTGTTGTTGGGAGAAACCTTAGAGAAATGCACCAAAATAAGTAAGCTCTGAGTGTTTAAATCCAGCTAAATGTGTTTGATCAGCTCCCTTCACTTTTTACCTATTTTATTGATTTTGTTCATTTTCTTTCTTTCTTTTAAACTCTTTCTAAAGCACTTTGAATATTTTGAATTGTCTCGTACATTAAATGTGCTGTAAAATTAACTTTGTTGTTGGGAGAAACCTTAGAGAAAAGCACCAAAATAAGTAAGCTCTGAGTGTTTAAATCCAGCTGAAAACATCTGTTTTTAATCAGCTCCCTTCACTTTTGATCACATTTATTTCGTTCGTTTTCTTTCTGTGTTTCCAGCTTTCAAACTCTCTAACCCTAACCCTCTGTAACCCTAACCCTAACCCTAACCCAGACTGAATGAACTAATGGGAGCTGCTTGTCCACAGCTGACCTGCATGTACAACCTTCTGAGCAGTGACCTGTCCCAGAACTTCACCGACCTGCCCTCGGACATGCTGCTCTACCTGAAGTAAGCGGCTCTAGGCAGACCAGAACGGCCTCTGATCCTGTCCGCCCTCTCACCGCTAACGGCTTCCTTTCAGGGCCAAAGACGTGGACCGGTCCAGCTGCAGGGCCTACTTCGCCGCGCTGGGCTCCGCCGACTTCTCTGTGGCCTCCGGGATGCTGAACATGGGCTCCAAGCTGTTCGAGGAGGCCAAGGCCTGCCTGGTGAGCCCGGCCGGAGGGGAAGATGATGGGTTCCAGTTTTCTAGCCCACATGCAGAACACAACACAGGAGAGGTTGATCAGAGAGAGAGGGTTTATTGAAAACACTGAAAACACTGATCGTGATGAGAACGGGTGTCGTCCGGGAGGGGGCTCACCGAGCGACCAGCCCCTGAACTAACCCTGGTTAGTTCAGGGGCTGTCGGAAATAACGAACTGGAACGAGATTACTTGGGACACGTGGTTTACGGTCTTGGGGAGGGTATTTAGATGTCCGGGTCCGTGTCCACTAGTGAAAAGGTCTCATACACACCACTAAAAGCTCTTATACACACTAGTGAAAAGCTCTAATACACACCACTAAAAGCTCTTATACACACTAGTGAAAAGCTCTCATACACACCACTAAAAGCTCTTATACACACTTCTAAAAGCTCTAATACACACCACTAAAAGCTCTCATACACACTAATGAAGCCACTGTCATGATGGGCTCCAGTTTTCTAGCCCACATGCAGAACACGACACAGGAGAGGTTGATCAGAGAGAGAGGGTTTATTGAAAACACTGAAAATACTGATCGTGATAAGAACCTGTGTCAGCCCTCTGAGAAAGGTTGGGCAGGATGGTTAGTTCAGGGCCTGTCGGAAATAACCAGACGAACTGGAACGAGCTTACTTGGGAGACGTGGTTTACGGTCTTGGGGAAGGTATTTAGAGGTCCGGGGTCCGTGTCCTCTTGGGAGTCCAGGTGGTCCAGGGTAGGAGGCAGGAATCCAAAGGGTAGTGTGTCGGAGAAACACAGGAAAACTTGAAGTCTGACTTCAGGGTGAGTGTGGAAACTCGGGGAAAAACACCTGAAGGCAGGAAAACAGGGAGAATCACTAAGAGATCCAACACAAGGAATAATCTCTAGGAGGCTCAGAGGTCCCGTTACTGGCTAACACTCAAACCCTTTTTAACCCGCTGAGACTTGGAAACAGTGGTCCACGCCTTTATTACATCGTGGCTGGACTACTGTAATGCTCGGTATATAGGAGTCAGCCAGTCTTCCCTCTCTCTGCAGAACGACTTTTAACTGGGACAAAGAAGAGGGAACACATAACACCAATCCTGGCCTCACTTCATTGGCACCCTGTCCATTTTCGAATTCATTTTAAAATCCTTTTATTTGCTTATAAGACAATACATGGCCTAGCTCCACCATACCTCTCTGAGCTACTAAAACATTACTGTCCCGCTAGGTCCCTTAGAGCTCATCAGCTCCTTCTAAAGGCACCTGGAGCAAAGCGGATATATATCTATATATATATA